TGTGTGTGTGTGTGTGTGTGTGTGTGTGTGTCGTCTTCCTCTTCTCTAAATAATAATAATGATTATTACAGAGCTGTCTTTCAACTACTAGAATATAACTATATATAAGTAATATTATGGCTTGTCTTCATGCTACAAGCCTGTAATACCAGCACTTCAGGATACTGAGGCAGGAGGATTGCAAGATGAGCCTAGCATTGGCAACTAGCATGACTTTGTTGCAAAATAAAAAATAAAAAGTGTAGTAAGGGTCGATGAGATAGTTCAGCAGACTAAGCATTTGCTTAGGTAAGCACAGGGGCCGGGTTCAATCCCCGGCACCGCTTGCCGCGACGGCCCTGCCCCCAGGTGCTCTGAGCTGGCAATGGAGTCCGAGCATGATAGTGCATACCTGTAATCCCAGCACTAGGGAGGCAGAAAACAGGAAGATCACTATGACTCCGAGCTGCAGAGTAAGACCCTGCACACACACACACAAAAAAAAAAAAACCTTAAAAAAAAGTGTACTAGCTTCAGTAGTACATACACTAAACTTAGAATGATACAGAAAGGATTAGCATGGCCCCTGTGCAAGAATGACACCCAAATTCCTGAACTGTTCTGTATTTTCCATGCTTATAGCTGGTAATCTGAACAACTAACTTGAAGACAATAATATGCACTATAACAACCATTGTTGAATTCTTATTATCTTGTTTAGTGAAATTCTGTATCATTTCTAATGTTTTTACCATTATTTATTCTCTTTATAAAAAATAAAATCGGGTTGGGGAGATGGCTCAGTGGAATAAGCGCTTCCCTGGCAAGCACAAGGGTCTGAGTTCAATCCCTGGTTCTGCAAAAATAAAATAAAATAAAATAAAATAAAAAAAGAATAAACTTATTAAGTAAAAAATGGGCTAAGGATGTTGCTCAGTGGTAGAGAACCCTGGGTTCAATCCCCACTATGAAAAAGGACAGGAAGGATACAAGAGGTGGAGAGGAGAAGGGAAGGAAAAAGAGGGAGGAAGGGAGGTCACACTTAGAACATTTGTACAGTATACATATTCAATAAACAGCAGCAATAGTAGCAGTAACCACAGTTGTCTTTCTGTCGTTTCCAAAGCACCATGAGTGGGAAGATGAGGACATCACTAATGAGGGGTAAGCATGAGGCAGTGTCAGTCTGGGAAAGCAAAGAGGAAGACCTGGGGGATGGGATGGGGATGAGACCAGGGGCTGGAAGTGCAGAGACACGGGGATCTTGGTGTCAGAGCAGCAAGGAAAGGTGATCCTGGACTCTGTCTGCCTCAGCTACCCTGATCCACCACTTCCTTCTCTGCCCCTTTCTACTTACTTCATCTTTGCAGGTAAGTCTTTCATCCAGCGAGTGTTGCCTCATTTCTCTTTGTTTGCATTGTGGCACTAAGAACTGGACCCCTGGCCTTCACACTGAGTTACATTCCCAACCCTTTTATTTTTTGAGACAGGGTCTCACCTACTTGCTAAGTTGCCCAGGCTGGATTTGAACTTTGCACTCCTCCTGCCTCAGCTTCCCAGAGAGCCTGCATTACAGGCATACACCATGATGCCCGGCTTCAGCTAAGGTCAAATGTAACCAGAGCATGGGGAGAAGGAAACAGAAAGGACTGAGTATGTCTCGATATTTTGGGATTCTTGGACTCATTCATGCTTGCTAAATGCAGGGACCACTGTGCAAGATGGAGTCCATGCAAAGCAATCGTTGCAAATCCTGGGGCACTGAAGGTGTGGCTGGGGCTTGACTAGATAAAAGAAAACCCTCTAAGAACTGACGTCTGGTAACTGAAAGAGCCAAGAGCAGTACTCAGATGTACACAGATCCCTAGCTCCTGAAGTTCCATGGGTCGTCCTGGCTCAGAAAGAGGCTCTTGCCCTCTGTGAGCAGAAACACTAGGTCTTGGGGTATCTCAGGGTCCCAGAGAGACAGATGAGGAATCCGAGACTCACAGAAGATGATACGTGTGTATCAGAGGCCATATACAACCAAGCCCAAGCCTCCAACTCCAGCTCCAGACCTCCCCAAGGCCAGCACAGAGATAAGGGAAGCTGACAACATCCTGAAGTGCACTGTATCCTGGCACACACTTGCACATGGCGATAGCCAGAAGGAGATTATTTTTAAGTGCGAGGGATTGAGCCCAGAGCTTGTGCATGCTAGGCAAGTGCTCTACTGCTGAGCCACATCCCTCAACACTTTGACACAGGATATTACTAAGGTGGCCAGGCTCAGCTTAGACCCAAGACCCTTCTGGCTCAGCCTTCCAACTAGCTAGGAGTATAGGCATGCACTACCATGCTTTCTTGATATGTACATAAGACCCTTCTAAGATCTGTCAATAATGTCAACCATACTGTGCCTAATTTAATACTCCCCCTTACTGATTTCCAATTCTAAATTAAAACAATGTGTTCAAAAGTCTTTATGAGCTCTTAACACATTAAGAAATCTTTTTAAATGAATTAACTGGTACATAAAAACAAAATTATACCATGCTAATGGGACACCATATGATTGTTTCAATTCATTATATAATGCCAAAATCAAGCACTTCCCTCTCTCATATACTTATAATTTCATTATGGTAGAAACGCTGTATTAGTGCTTACTAGAGTCCAGTGCAGAAGAGTGCAAAAGTCTGTCTGCACACTGGAGACCAGAAGGATCCACTGGAAGGCATGGAGCCCAGGACCGTGTCCTCACAGCAGCAGGCTGAAGGATCCTCAATGGGAGAATGACAGGTCTACGCCAGAAAGGCCCAGGGGCCGGAGTTGGAAGCTGACGTGTCTGTGCCGGCAATTGAAGGATCTGAGCCCGAAGGCTGAGGGGTCTGCAGTGGAAGCCAGGAGACAATGCCCAAGATGAAGATGAGGACTGAAAGCTCCCCAGGAGGAACAATCCAGCTGAAACCTTTCCAAAGAAAAAGAGTCAAAACAAAGTTCCTCCCAGGAAGATCACAGATCTCCTTCATGGTAGTTGGTGCACTGGCTGTTGGTCTGAGCTCTACAAAAAATGACCTCAAAATGTGATCTGCCCCCCTTGAAGAGGGGGAACTGTTGGTTAAATATCAAGGCGCAGGTCTAATGGTAATGTATTATCACATCAGCCCTCTCCAGCAGTTTCGTGGCCTTGCCAGACATCCACTATGATAAGTAGGTGTGGAAGCAGTGGTCCAACCTAGCCAACCAGGCTTCATAGAGAGGGAAGCTTGAGTTAGCATGCCATGGAGGAAATTACTAAGGATCAGGGGCAAGAAGAGAAATGAGAGGAAGAGAATGCATCTCTTTGCTAACACATGACCTTTGGGAGATGTCATTATTCTAGTGGTTTGGGGAAGTACTGCTATGAAGATGATTAATTACATGTCCCCATCAGAGGTTGAAAGTAACATTAATAACAAATACCAGGCCCGGGGAATAACTCAGTAGAATAAGTACTTGCCTGGCAAGCGCATGGTCCAGAGTTCAATCCCCAGTACCACAAAAAAAAAAAAAAAAAAGGAACTAGGTATGGTAGTGTACTCCTGTAATCCCAGCACTGTGGAAGGCTGAGGCAGGAGGATCACAAGTCAGACCTCAGCCTCGGTACGTTAGCAACTTAGTGGGAGCCTATTTTGAAACACAAATTACAGGAACTGGGCATGTAGCATATGCCTGTAATCCCAGCACCAACACTCGGGAGGTTGAGATAGGAGGATCACTGCCATTTCGAGACCAGCCTGGGGGCAACAAATCTGAACACAAGGCCACCCCAAACTACAATTCGATACCTTGTCTCAAAAAATTATAAAAGAGTCTGGGGCATAACTCAGTGCAAAGCCCATGGGTTCAGTCCCCCATACTACAAAACAAAGAAGCCAAGAGAAGAATTCAACAGAATGTGGAGTAATTGGTGGGGGTAAAGGATGAGAGCTGTGAATCTCTGTACAGGGCCAGAAACCTGGGCCACAAACACCAAGAAGGGGCATGAGAAGCAGCACAAATCTGGAAGAAATGAGAGTTGGGTAATTAATGCCTTTATTTACAACAACTCAGCAAGCAACTCAGACAAATACAACTCAGACCTTTGATTCCAGGAAACTGAGTTTAGTGGCATTGCCTTAATAACTGTAGAATCAGAGGGTGACACTGACCTGCCAGGGGATCAGAAGTCGGCACTCAGGAGGTATCATGTGAAGGTAATGCAGGGAGCATCGGGGAATCCCTGGAAGTGAAGCCAGGATGTAGGGAACATGGAAGTGAGTACTGGAAGTAGCTGGGACATGGCGCTCTGGGAAGGGAGGTGCGAGTGAAATCCAGGACCATGGTACAAAGATTCACCGGTGCTGTGCTAAATAGTATGGATGAATCCTGGGAGTGAAGAGGGGAAAACTATGTGACTGACTGATATCTGGAGCTGAGGAAAGGTCACACTAGTCAGTGGCAGGAGAAAGATGAGGAGGCCAAGAGGCCAGAGGGCCCCATTGGAGTGAGTCGTAGTCATCGGGGATCAAAAAGAGAGAGGAAAGTGTGGGGATCTGAGGTGCATTAGGGAGGGTTGGTGATGCAGGTGGCAGAGAGATTTACCAAAATAGAATAAGAGTTTGCTCAGATCATAAAGCACTATCAAGAGGGACAGTAGCGAGCTTCCAAGAAAGGAATTGTTCCATGAGGATGAGAGGTGAAAGTCTTTGTGAAGGATTGAAGACATGGGAAGGTCTGCCTTAGCAAATATAGTATGTTGGAAATGCATTTTCCTGGCCTCTTGGTCCTTGTAAATCTTCAGAAACAACTGCATCATAACTGAAGCTGTGCATTAAAGCTGTAAACGGACTAGGTCACAGGAGGCCCCTTCTCACTGGGAGATTTATTGTTATTTCATACTGCTTTGGGTCAGTGTTAGCACCTTCTCTTATGGATTTACTTGAAGGGGGGTGGATTTTGGTTTTTTTGTTGTTGTTCTTTATTAATTTTATTGAGAAATAGCAATGAGACAGTATCAAAACCGATTAATAGGACAGTTTCAATAATTAATACATTGCATATTGTTGTCTTTGTAGTGGCTATTCATAGTAGAAGATGCAGACATGATATCCTGTCCAAACACTATTAGTACAAATATTTATGCTCATTGATTTAAGAGAAAGTAGCTGTATATCTATCCTAACTATTTTGTATATACAGATACAAAATTGTCATTCATTTGTATCCCTATTTTTTGTTTCATTTTGTCAGAGAAGGGTATTCCATTGCCATTTAAATATTGTAGGTGTGTGATTTTAGCAAAATATTCCAATATAGTCCAGTAGTCCATAATAGTAGTGGGTTATCCATAGGACTGGCAGTATCAGAAGTTGTTGACTTGAGCCCTTTACAGCTCAGCATACTAATATGGCTTTATTTTTTATACCTCATTATTATACTTTTCTTCTGGATGGCCAAGACCAAGATAAAGCAATGGCCGTGACTCATCCACATGGCTGACATTGACAAAGGATCTACAAACTGTGGTATAGGGTTTCAGGCTAAAATCCTGAGGGGATTTGACTGACCTTTTCAGATACAAAAGTTATATTTCTTAATATATAGGTCTTGCTTTGTCTTGGGTCTTAA